AGAAGGTGTGTGACCTCCATATTATTGGCTCTGTTTGTGTGTGCACCAAAACCTCTTATCCACCCCATTTCATTAGCCTTTCTGACCATGTAGTTGAGTCCCTCCATTGCTAGGAGAAATAAGAAAGGAGACATGGGATCTCCTTGTCTCAATCCCCTTTGTGATTGAAAAAAACCTTCAGGACTCCCATTTATAATGATTGAGAACTTCACTGTTGACACGCAAAACTTGATCCAATTCACCCATTTCCTCCCAAACCCCATTTCACTCAGAACTTTCCAGAGGTAGTTCCAGTTGACATGATCATATGCCTTCTCTATATCCAATTTGCATAGGATACCTGGTATCTTTTGTTTTTCCCTGGAGTCCACCAGCTCATTTGCCAACAAAGAGGCATCCATTATTTGTCTGTCCTTCAAAAAAGCCATTTGGTGCTCATCAATCAGTCTCCCCATCACTGTTTTCATTCTCTCGGTGATCAGCTTAGCGATGATTTTGTACATTCCACCAATCAAACTTATTGGCCTAAAATCCTTGAGTTCCGCAGCTCCGAGCTTCTTGGGGATTAATACCACAAAAGTGGCATTCAAGGATCTTTCAAACACTTCATTCTGATGGAAATTGTGGATTGTTTGCATCGCATCGCTCTTTATGATCCCCCAACACTCCTTGAAAAAAAGCATAGTAAAACCATCTGGACCAGGGGCTTTGTCTCCATCGCACAATTTGAGAATGTGTACCACTTCCTCTTCTGAAAATGGTCTCTGCATCCATTCCTGCTCCTCTTGGCTTATTCTTGGGCAATTTGTCATCACAAATGATGGCCTCCAACTTTCTGATTCAGTGTATAGCTGCTTGTAGAACTCTGTTATATGATCTTTGATTTCTTTTGGATCTTTATTCTCCTCCCCATTGATAATCAGCCTGTCGATGGTGTTGCATCTCCTATGAGCTGTTGCTACTCTTTGAAAGAACTTGGTATTATTATCACCTTGTTTCAACCACAACACTCTGGACTTCTGTCTCCACCTGGATTCTTCATTCTTCGCTAATTCTTCTAACTCGACTAGAACTGTTGCTCTAATCATCATCTCATCCTCTGTCAGCACCCTATCATTCTGGATCAGATCCATCTCAGCTAGCTCACTTAACAAGCTGTTCTTCTTATTGTTAAGTTCCCCGAAAGTTACACTGCTCCAATCTTTAAGTTTCTGTTTTAGCATCTTTAGCTTCATACTGAATTTGAAATCTGGGCATCCGTCCACAATAAAACCATTCCACCAGTTCTGGACTAGATCTTTGAAACCTTCTACATTAAACCACCAGTTCTCAAATTTGAAGTATGTCTTCCTCTGTTCCCAATCACCACATTGTAGCATAACTGGATTGTGATCAGATATAACTCTAGGCATAATTTGTTGCCTTATGTTTCTGAATTGTACTTCCCACTCAATTGAATAGAGAAACCTGTCCAGTCTCGCAGCACTGTCGTGGCCAGCCCCTCTGTACCAGGTAAAGGTCCCACCATTTAGATGAGGGTCATGTAACTCCATATCCTCTATCCAACTCGAGAAATCAGCCATTACATTGGTTATTCTTCTGCATCCTCTCCTTTCTGCCATTGTTCTGACAGTGTTGAAGTCCCCACAGGTGACCCAGGGGCCTCCACATAGCTCCCTAACTGCTGCAATTTCTTCCCAGCACTCCAGTTTCTCAGCTCTGGTGTGTGGAGCATATACGCCAGTAAGAAACCAACAAAAACCATCGTGGACAGCTTCAAATTTGTAAGTGATTGAGTATTTGCCTTCCTCCACACAACTACCCGTCCATACTCTTGAGTCCCACATAATTAGTATCCCCCCACTACTACCATCAGCTTCAGAATACCCACATTTCATCCATCTACTAGACCACAATTGTTTGGCTATCCCCTCTACATCTTTATTGATTTTTGTCTCCTGAAGGCAATAAACATCAGCTCTCCATTTTAGAAGAGAGCTCTTAACCAGATTCCTTGCTGAAATCTTGTTAATCCCCCTGACGTTCCATGATAAAATATTTACTTTCATTTAAGAGTTAGTGATAGGACTCTCCCTCTGTTCCTTGCACCTTCGACCTCCTCGTTCAGATCTGACTGTAAGTTCTTCAACTCATTCTTGCTAATTCCTCTGTGACGAGGTGTTGACACTGCACTGTATGCCCCTTTCTTTTCCATCACACTCTTCCTTTCATCGAGCTTCATTAGTAATGCATGTGTTTCTTCCCTGAAACCTTCGAATGCCACTCCATAAGTTTTACTGAGCTCCAAAATATGTGACTTTATCCAACTGGATGCTTCAAACTCGCTGTCTGTATGGTACCCAGGGTTTTGTATGGAAACCGGCTCCGCATCGTGAATCTGTTGAATTTGCATGCCTCCTTCCACTAGTTCTTGTACCCCTGAAATCTCCCCAAAATCCTTAGAATGATCAATACCCTTTGCTTTGTTGCATAGTAGTTCAACAGCCTCTTTCGTCTTGTTTACCGGCTCTCTGTTTTTAGCTGAGATGTCGGTGTTTTCCACCATACTCGAGGTTTCCCATTTGTTGTAAGCCTGTAAGAACTGCATCGCTAATTCCTTGATGCCACTTAACCCTTCTAGAAATTCCCCCTGTTTTTCACTTGCCAGGTCAAACTTTTTATTGACCAGGCCCCCCTCTTTATTTTGTTCTGGCCCCAATCTTAGAATTGGGCTTTGTTTTGAGTTGGGCTCGCCCCGGCCCACTATTTCGTTTGACTTGGAGGACTGCCCACATGCCTCTGACACAACACATGCTCTGCCAGCTGTAGCAGTTACTTTTTGACTTTGTACCTCTGACACAACACATGCTCTGCCAGCTGTAGCAGTTACTTTTTGACTTTGCAGAGGAGCCTCACCTTTACCCAGTGGTTTTCCACCTCGTGACCGCTGGGTACTGATCTCGGAGTTCCGGTCTTCCCCGGCAAATACTCTTACCGGCGATTCTGCCCAAATTTGCATCGTGTAGCATATTCCGCCCCCGTCGATGGTCACTTCTTTGGGTATGTCTGCTCCATCTCCTTTGATTCTGATTCTTGCCCATTTGAGATGATTCCTCAATTGGGTTTCCTCTTCCGTCTCTACCCACCCCCCGCAGAAATCTCCGATGACCTTGAAAATTTTCTGATCCCAAAAATGCAAAGGCAACCCTACAATTTTTACCCAAGTTGAATTTTCTTTACTCCTTCCGCATCTCGTACCTATTGTTGGATTCCACCATTGAAGGATAACTGGACTATTCCTCCACTCCCAATCCCCTTCGATCACTTGCTCTGCTGTGACCCTAAGTGCAAACTCAAATAGAAAGAAGTCATTGCCCATTTCGTAGATGTTCAAGCTGTGTGTTTGTTTCCACAGTCGATTAGCCCATCCCCTGATTTCTGACAGGGTCACTGTCTCTCCGGCTCTAGGTTCAAATGCACCCACCAAACTTCTCTTTAGCACTTCACTGTACTCCTCTGGATCATCGTTGATAAAGATTGTATCCCCTTTTAGAGCTGCCTTCTCTTTTTCAGCAAGTTTTGAATCTTTATTAGCCCATTTAATGCTCCTTAGCACTGTAGCATATGGAATGTCTCTGCTCACCAGCCTGTGATTGCCCCCATTCATTAACTTTCTACGACTATTAATGAATCTTCCAACCTTTTCCGCAAAGCTCAACCACCCTGAGTTAAAATTTAATTCAGGAATGATGATAACTTCCCTCCTCCTGCCTTTTACATTTATTAAACTGATGTAGCGCCCATATTTATTGTAGTTACTCGAACAAAAAACTTCTGAGAACCCATCTTTTTTCTTCCATCTCTTCACCATATTCCCCCTTGTCATTGATGCCTCCCGTAAAATCTGCACGATCCATTCCATTGACTTCTCATTAAAAGTCGTTCTCGTAATAGATTTTCTATTTCTTTCCGTCCAGTCGTACCATGCTCCCGCCGTACCAGGTGTTCTTGTGATGTCGTAGGACTTGAATCCAACTGCAAAGTATATACTATCTTCCATTTGGAACTCGCCTGCAAGGACAGTGAGAAGGAAAAGAAAAAAAGAAAAGAGAAAATGAAATCCGGTGATCAGAAGGATCACCGGAGGACGTAGGAGAGGGGGGTCCTGCTGATTTAGACCATTCCTCGGTTATTGTGTCTGAGAGCTCTTTTACCCTTATTTTTTATCTTTGTGAGAGGCAGAAACCCAAATAGCTCCAATATCTCACAAGACCCCCCAAAAGATGCCAAGCCAAGATATAGTGAAGCTCAACCATCTGATGAGTAAAGAATGAAAATCATCACGGCCTCATTACGGGCCTCATGTCGAAGGTCTTATTATTTGTAGAAATGACACAAGGTAGCCACTTTCCAGATCATAATGGGATCACATTTAAGTATGGTGTTGTACACAAGATAGCCACTTTAGGGCTGATTCTACTACAACAAACAAAGGATTTTGTGGCAATGATATAATCGCTACTAGAATATATTTAGCGGCAATAACATATATGAGTATTTATAAACATCACTCTATATAAATGTCACTTCAGACTTTAGCGACTTTAGATGCAATGGCATTAACTTAATTTGCAGCTAAATGTTCTTGCAGCAATAAATATTGTCAGCAAGAGAAAATTCTATTGACACAAAATGTCTCTTTTATTGTAGTGAACACTAAAACATTTTCCTCCATAGCAAATACACCCATAAGTGACAATTGAGGCTCAGATCCATCTTATACTCGGGCAAAGAAAGTCGGAGTCCAGTCATGCCATGGCTGCAAATATTCCCAAGTTGCATGCAACAAAATCACAGGCATCCGGGTCATTGCCCCGCCAAGATACCGGCCAGGTACTCTCAATGCTCAATTACTAGCTAAAGAGGATAGATTGAAAGATCATCATTGCTCCGCCAAGATATTGGCCAGGTACTCTCAATGCTCAATTAGCTAAAGAGGATAGATTCAAAGATCATTATTGCCCCGATAAGGGACCATTTTTGACATTTTCTCATGATGTGTTTTTGTGTGTGTGTGTGTGTGTGCATACATAGGGTTTTTTCATCATTTAGGTTCAGAACTCTTCGAGTCCTGGGACATCCAGTTGGACTAGTTGGAAATTGAGGCTCAGATCTGCAAAAATTGGGGAAAATAGAAGGCAACAACCGCCATGGCTGCAAAAGAACCAGTTGCATGTGAAAGAGAAGACTCAATCACAAGCCATCCGAATTTGCCATGCCAAGATACGGGTTAGATTGTCTACATGCCCCAAACAATAAACATCAGCCCAAATTAGCAAATATCATCACTGCCTAAAAATGGGAACTTTTCCAGAAGAGCCCGTTTAAACAACCTTAACAAGAAAATTTTAACAAGAGCCTGTTTGGATTGGACTGCTTTTTAGTAGCTTTAAAGCATAAGCCGACCTTAGCTCAGAGGGTCATTTGCACTTTTGTCCTGCTGTCCTTACTTATGACCATGCAACTAAATGTAGCTCAGAATAATTAGAAAATTGAATAGTACAACTTCCTTCAGCATCACATTGCCACCATTGAAGGCAATGACAACAAACATCGTTTCTTTTTTCCACTTTTATAGAGGGTTGTTAGTTTGGTTAAAAGAGAATTCACAGGCCAGTCAGAGAGGGCAACCACCCTCCAAAGAACTTCCCTTTTTCTCCCTGTTGGCCTCATTTTCATACTGGGCTGAGCTTCCATTACTGGATCATTCACACATTTTCCCCTATTTTGTTTTGGTCTTTAGTTTAGGCATTCATAACAAACAACTTTTTCGCGAGACATAAGTTAATATTTTCATATAATTTCAGTTTCCAAAGAACTTATATCCCCAAAACATGCAATTTTATACCCACCCTTAAAATCTAGGAAATTACATCAACAACTTAAAGGAGTGTTAACTAGAGCAAAGAAGAAATCATTGACATACCGGAGATGAAAAAAATCCCCATTTTCTCCGATTGCCTCAGTCTTTTGAGTTAAAATGAACTGGGTTTCCGTCCGAATTCGAAAATGAGGCTCAGATCTGTGTAAAATGGGGGCAAAGAGGAGAAGAAGCCGACAACGCCATGGCTGCAAAAAAAAATGAACCGGTTTTGCATGATTCGGGTTTTGCCCCGCCAAGATACGAGTCGGGTTTTCTCCATGCCCCAAATTTCAGCCCAGAATCATCACACAGCAATGTCATCACTGCCTCTTTCCATCTTTTCAACAGCAATTTGTGGACATTTTGCAAAACCAAGTAAAAAGGGAACGAAAGAAGTAATAATTTTTTTTTTCTTTTTTTTTGGAATTTTCATAAGGAGGGTTGTTAGTTTGTTCGGACAGAGAAATCATAGGCCAATCAGAGATGGCAACCATCCTCCATTGAAATCCATTTTTGTGTTCTCTCAGTTGGCCTCATTCTTCATTCTGGGCTGAACTGATTCTCATTTTCTTCACTAAAATACTCTTTATATAGATAGAGAGGCTATAGAGAACATAAGTTGCTATAGCCCGACGCGGAGCTAGGTAGGGTTAATGGCTAGATAGGTTCATGATTTCGGACAAATTCATAGTTTTTTCATAAATTCGTACTAAAAAATTAAATAAATATATATGTATAATAACTTGTAAACCCCCAATAAAATTGATTAACGGCTCAATGATAAGGAAGGAGCATATTTGTAAAAGGAAACTTAAAATCTCTGAACTCCTAATCCTGACTCCGCCTCTCGCTATAACTGACCGTTCTTCGGTTAGCAGCCTTATAGAACTTGGTAATTCATTTTTACCAAGAAACACAAACCAGGTTGTTGTTTTTTTTTGTAAAATGAGCTCATTCCAATTCTCAACAAATGATAAAGTTTCATGATCCTGAGCACCTTTATATTTGTTCTTTTGATAATGGTAACATTTGTATTATATCAACCAGCACAAAGGATGTGCTGAGGCCTCTGTACATATTTCAAAAATAAAACAGAAAAACAACAACTAAACATATTTTGTTCATTTTACAAGAAACCTCTAATGTTTAGTATAGAATCATCATCATTTTTCACTTCTTTCTTTACAACAAAAATGAAAAAGCAGTATGCAGTTCAGCTTCATCTTCTGGATGGAGCTGCTTCTCTTCAAAACGCCTAGCATTCCTCTCCTTTTGGGCTTATCCACCATATACAAGCTGGTAACATGTTTCGCCTTTTCTTCTGCCTAACATAGCTGCTCACATTGTTCCAACAACTCAAAAGTATCTATTGTCGACTGTGGCATAGTCCATCTAACCTTGGAGCTGCTGGAAAAGAAGAACAAAAAAGGTAGATGAAACATCAATAGACATAAGAGGTAAAAAAGCTTATAGTAAAACATATTTTTCAGTCCAAGACTTGACCATTACTAGTAAGAATGTATAAGATTTTGCCCACTGCAAATCCACAAGCTAAAATCAAATCTGCAGATTGTTTTGATAAGATTTGAGACTCATACTAAGCAATTGATCTCAGACATTGAGTTCTTCGACACTTCCACGGCTGCAAACCCATCAAGATGCAGAGGTAAAATAATAACACCCAAGTCCATCTGATCAGTAAAACTAATCATTACATCCGTGTTATTTTCCCTTTTCCAGCACATCGTTGCATGGTTTTGCTGTTGATTTGCCATGGATATGCAACCTTAGAGGAGCAGAGTATAACAGTCAACGAAAATGATCAAAATAGTACTTATATATGGGGGTTGGTTACACAAACACATATATGAAGAAAAAAGAGCAGATGAGGTTAGATCTAAAAGAAAATGAGTTTATGTTAAGATACACCATCAGTTGAATAATTTTTACACTACCAGGTTGCTGAAAGGATATCTATAGGTAAGTCTCCTTAAAATGTAGATCTGCAATCTTAAAAATAAGACAGGCTACCTCCCACAACATACAGATATGACCTAATAGTGTAAAAAAGTATTCACATTGACAGCGTATATAACTCAAACTGAAGAAAATAGACATCATAGGCATAATGGAAACGGTCAACCACACTGAAAATGCTGTCATTCTTAGTTGATGCAATTGTATATCTCAGTTATTCCAAGAGATCTCCGAGAGGCTAGCTCCATGACCACTTTATATTTGGCTCTTCAACAACAGTATGAAATAATAGTTCTATGCTGAATCTGAATCTCAATTTTGACTAGGCATGAATGATCACCAAAAACAAAATCTTAGCTCCTAAATCTCATTGAATTGCTTGAAATTTATCTCTACGGAGTTAGAAGTCAACTGTGGACAGGCCAAAGCCTTTGCGCAAAGACAAAATGATTATGAGAAATTGGAGACACCATAACCTCTCTCCAATCTACAACAAGTCACTCAAAATAAAAGAGAACGGGAGATTCTAAATAATAGAACAAAGAACCATGAAAAGAAAAGATCAGATGTGTTGTAGCAGTTGTGACTCAGATCAAGCAGAGTGGCAATGTAACACCATATGGATGCATCTGTCCTTTGGTTGCTGCTCTCAGAAGCTCTCATAGCCTTCTTATTTACTACACAATACATATTACATACACATAAAAAGTAAGCCTTTTGAACGCTGCAAAACTCAAAAGTGGAAAAAATTGATGCTTACCCAAATACAAAAGTGACTTGATTTTTAGATAACTATAAGCATGAGCTTATATAATAAGGGCAACCATTGTCAAAATAAAACTAAGTTATAACTTTTATACAAGAATATGAACAAATGAATAAGAAACGGAAAATTCAATACCATGCTATTCTAGAAAAACTAAAAAAGACGACTCTTTTTCACTCTTTGAAATACTCTTTTATGAAAGATTTGCTCAAACTTTTCAAAAAGCATATTGATTTGATTACAAAAACCACTGTACGTTTCTTCTAAATCTAAACATCCTTATTTTGGTTTTAAGCCTTTCTCCAACCAATCAGCCCTAGGAATAGGAACAAAAAATTGGAAACAACAAAGAGAGAAGAGTCTCAAGACCATAAAAAATCATCTGGATCAAATGTACTTAGCCTCATTTCAAATATTTCTAGTCAAACTATTTGCTAAGAGACTAGTCAAAAAAATGTAAATAAACAAAAGATGAGGCTCAGATTTTCGCCTATTTAATCAAAGAAAAGAGCAGAGTTAACACTGACATGGCTGCAATCATCGGTTGGCTTATAAGAAAGACCTTCCGACTTTTCTTGCCAAGCCAGGCCATGAATCAACTCCAAATCTTTCACTTTTCATTAAGAAAAATCATCATTGCCTCTGAAACTTAGGATTTTTCAAGATTAAAACAAGGCATGAAAGTGTGGATACTGTGTAAGATAAATTATGCAACAATTAGCCTCTGAAAGTACATGAATTCGCATATACATAAAAGCTTTGGACTTGTCTCATATGCCTAATAATTTCTCTCTAGGAAAATATGGAGATGAGTACATAAAATAATTCTTTCGAAATTGGGATTCTTCAAAAACAGAAGAAAGAACATGAACAGAATGTAATGGAAGGACTACTCATTGAAGAACTAAGTTTAACAGAAAAGTGGCTCAGATTATCCTTAAATATATCAGAAAAATGGCCAATCCGCCATAGCTGCAAGAAGCAGACCCCTTTGTGAGAGAGCACATAAGAACTCACCTCACAAATTTTCCTACATTTGCCTAACCAAGGTACGAATTCGCTCAAAAATGTGACAATATCATCATAGACTCATTCACAAAGGTTAGGGGTTAGGAGCCGAGCACAAAGGATTTCTCCGGACAAGTTTTAAGAGGCAAACAGACAAATTGTATCAAGTTTAAGGGGCATCTATGTATGTGGCCTTTTCCTTATTACTACCATAAACATGGCTATCTTCACCATCATTACCATAATCGGGAAATTTTTAATGAAAGGGCTGTTAACCTTCCACTTGAGGGACTTGAGGGATTTCACTGGGTATGTTATTGTTGTTGTAATAAAGGACTGTTAATTTTTCTGCATAAAAAAGGTATAGGGAAATTCATTGGCTTAATTGAACTTCAGAGGAAGGGAGTAACAAACAAACACCCTTAGAAAATCTCAACATTCCTCGAGTTCCATAAAAGCCTCATTTTGAACATTAACAGACATTTAGGAGGCCCCGCCATGGCTGCAAGCTTAAGGAGCCTTTGTGATACGCAGAAACTAAAATAGCTCCAAATCTCACAAGACCCCCCCTCCCCCAAAAAAAGGCTGCCACACCAAGATATAGCAAGGCTCAACCATCTGATGAAAAAAGAATGAAAATCATCACTGCCTCATTGAACTTATTTTGCTAAATAAAAGAGTGGTTAGAATTTGGGAAATTTTGGGTGATCATTGGCTTCTAAGAATGACACAGAGGGGCAAAACTATGTCAAACAACTCTTTGAATCCAACAGACTTAGACTTAAACAAATAAGATTGTTTCCATTTTCGTTTCACCTTATGCTTCATATTTATAGTGCCTTAATTGTTTTGGACCTCGACAATGGTTCACTCAACTGATGGGGTTAACAAACTGGGGAATTGAAGACAATACAACCCGTATCTTGGCCAGGCAAATCCCAAGATGGCCTGCAATGGAGGCTCTCTCTTTTGCATGCAACCAGTGATTTTACAGCCATGGCGTGGCCTTCTCTTTTGTCAGCTGAGGGTCTATCGGAAACAGCTTCTCTACCCCACAAAGGTAGGGGTAAGGTCCACCTACACCCCACCCACCCCATACCCCACTTTTGGGACTACACTGGGTTGTTGTTGTTGTGTAATCTCTTTTGACCTCCCAAAATTATGGGCCTCATGTCGAAGGTCTTATATGTGGAAATGAATGCTTCACTGAAATAGTTTCCTCCATACCAAATATACAAAAAGTAAGTTACAACCAAACCTCTCTATAGCAGCATCAGCATCGTTTGTCCTGATATTTTTTGGCTACTATAGTGAAATGTTGCTACAGAGAACATATAATACAACTTAACGTGAAAGATCGGTCCCACAGAAAGCATGACTGTTATAGTGAAATGTTGTCAAAGAATACAACTGCTACATAGAGGTCTGACTGTATAAGTGAATCGAGGCTCAGATCTGTATTGATGCTCAAGCAAAGAAAGTCCAGCCATACCTTGGCCAAATATGCCCCAATTGCGTGTAACAATCACATGTATTTGGGTCATTGCCCACCAAGATACATGTCGGGTACTCTTTATGCTCAGCTACTAGCTTGGGAGGATAGATTGAAAGATCATCACTGCCTCAATAAGGGACCATTTTTATCATTCTCACCTGACGTGTGTACATGTGTGTGCATGTATGTAGTATACAGACAATATACATGCACAGATGGACTTCAATTTTATCAGTCATTGGGTTTAATCAGAAACCGCCATGGCTGCAACCTCCCCATGTTACCCTGCCAAGATAAGGCTCTTACCATCTCAACGGCCAACCCAATTGCGCAAAAAAGAAAAAGGTATTACCATCAAAGCCATAAATTTCTTCCTGTTCTTACACTGATTTCTTGTTGTTTAGTTCATAAAACATTCCAACAGCAGCAAGAACAGGAGAAAATATCTGTTAAACTTAACAGGAGCTTTGGTGTCTCCTGTTAGTCTAAGGGTTATGGACACTTTTTGCAAGTAATTAGGACCATTTGTGCTAAGGAGTATATATCAAGGACCAAAATAGTCAGGCCCCAGAACATTAAGGACAATTTGGATTTTCTTCTAATCTTAACAAGGCTCAGGTCTCAGTTTAATCAGGGATTGAGGTTATCAATCCGCCATGACTGCAGGCAGCAACCTCTCCAGGCTACCCCACCAAGATGCAGCTCGTATAATCTCAATCCCCAAACCAAATTGCTCAAAAACAGCATTATCATCATAGCCTTAAATTCTCCCTGCTCTTAAATTGATTTCTTGCTGCTCGATTGATAAGAACGAAAGGAACAGAAGAAGATGCAGCAGCAACAACAACAACAGAAACTTGCCTCATTCTTAGAGCTGATTATAAGTAGACATTTGGCCATAGATTTCAAATATTTTCACTTTATTTGGAATATATGAAGTTGGAATTGAAGATGGAGTTGTGTTTGGTTAGATTTTTTGCAAAGGAGAGAAATGAGCACCTTATTTGGAATTCATGAAGATGGGAGTTGGAAAACAAGTTTGGAGCACTTCTCCTGTTCTCCAAATTTGAAATCCAATTCCGAGTTGGATTTGGAAATTTTATAACCAAACACTGATTTTGAAATAAAGTAATAAAGTGAAAAATTATTCTGAAAAAAATGAATAATTCTCATGACCAGGCTCCTGAACATGACATGGGTTTCAACCCTACGATGTCCTGATTTGAGTCCTGGAATATCCAGAAGGACTAGATGGAAATTGAGGCTCAGGTCTGCGGAAAAATGAGGAAAGGAGAAGCCGAGAAGGTGACACTGTCATGGCTGCTAAAGAACCGGTTAAATATGAAAGAGAAAACCCTATCACAAACCATTCAGGTTTGCCATGACTTCATAATGGGCTCAACTTCGACTATTCCCTAAATAGCAGTCCTAAAATTGGTTATCTGTGCACTTATGCCCACTTACAAAAGCGAAAAGGACTGCTGGTTAGAGCAAAGAAGAAATCATTGACATACAGGAGATGATCAACCACCCTGAAAAA